GAGAGCGCGGCGAGCACCGCGCGCAGCCCCGCGTCCGCACCGCCAGAGGAGCCGCGCCGCACTGACGGAGCACTCAGCCAAGCGGCGCCGTACTTCTGACAGCCCGCAGCTCCCCATGGGCTGCTCGCTATTCAGGGTCCTGCCTTGCTGGGATCAGCTGCACAGTCCCCCCCGTGCTGCCAGCAGGCTGTCCTTGGGCTGCTCCTTTCCACCTGGCGCAGGTGGGACCTGCAGCGCATCAGCCAGGACGCGGATTTCGGGACAAACAAAGGGCGTTTGTCCAGGGCTGGGTTCCTCTCCTGGCACCCCACCTCACCGCAGCCCTGTGCCAGCACTCAGCCTTCTGCGGGCCGTAGTATGCCCTGCTTTGGCTCTCAGAGAATGTCTTCAGCTTAACTAGTAGAGCATCCCAGAGCTCACGACTGATTCCCGTGTGTTTACCGGGCTTTGCTTTGTGGTTTGAAGGCCGTGCAGCATTTCAGCCATGGCAGGGAGCCAGGGAGGCTGGAGTTTTGCAATGTTTGGGCCAAACAGACTTAAAAGACACCTTTGAAAACAGTGTTTGTGAGCAGACTTATTAGAACTCTGCTGCTTCTGCAAAATATAAAGTCAGTGCCTAATTGCTAATTACTGAACCCACAGAAGGCAGTGCCAGCAGATGGGTGCTGGTGCTGTCAGTGACAGCTGTTTTGAAGCCAGCTTTGTGCCAAGGAAAACCCCAAATCCCAGCACTTGGGGGCATGGGCAGCTCTGCTGGAAGGGCAGGACAGGAACCTCACTGCCCATGGGATCAGCTTATCAGAGCCAACAGCACACCCAAGTGCCCATGTTGCTGAAGCTTTGCAAGAGCAGGAAACCACCGCATTTTATATGTTCCTCCTACCCAATTGCCTTCAAATTTTCTCTCACTTTTATTGCCAGGCTTGTGGTTAAACGCACTTCATTGTAAGCCCAGGGAGTGTAGCACATAGGGTGAAGGAAAAGAAGGGTTTCCTTTGAAGGGGAGGTGGGTAAACAGCAATAATCCAAATCTCATGCTTTTGGACACCCTGGAGAGCACCTCCTTGATGCTATCCTCAGAAAAGCAGAGTGCAGCTACCGCTGATGCCCTGTGCACTGCGTGCAGCACGGACACACTGGGGGTACCCAGCAGCACATGGAAAGCACTGTAGGTTTAGGGTCTTGTCCTGCCTGTGTCAGTGGGACAGATCCAGGCGGTGCAGGAGGGGAAGGCAAAGCCGGAATGCCCTCAGCCAGCCCTGGGGAGGTCACAGTGCTCCCAGTGCCAGCTGCCCTGAAACCCGAGCCAGTCCCACCGCCATGCCCCGCTGAGCGGCCCCTTGCTCTGCTTGCTCTCCTCTTCCTCTCCTCCTCCTCCTCCCTCTCAGCCATCCCTGTGCCCAGGCATCCCGCGATGGGGCCGGGCAGCCGTCCTGCCCCACAGCCCTGAGCCTGCAGGGTGACACAGGATGAAGCCAGAAGCTGCTCAGCAGTCGGATGGAAGCCTCTTCTCCTCCTTGTTAGCTTTTTTTTTTTTCCTGCTGTATCCCCACTTTTGGATATTCATTGCATCAATTAATTTTCATTTCTTTTTTATTAACTAACCAGCCAGCAGTTTTCTTGACTACAAAGGAGAATATTTATTTCTGGGTTTAAATACATCATCTTTATACTGGAAAGAAAACAGCAGACAGGTACGTGGATTGATGGAAAACAGTTTTTGCAACAGGGTCAGTCCAGGCTGCACCAAATCTCTCTCATGTCCAGATTGAAGGAAGGAGATTTCACAGGTTGTTTGCTGAGATCTGCGTTCTTTGGGGTAAAAACAGAGCTGGGACTTTCTGTGGGAGGAAAAGTAGAGATTCACCTTGATAGGTATAGCAGGGACTATGCTCAGCATCTCAGAGATTAATGCTTTATGGAGTGCTGGGACAACTGGAATGGGAGGCAGGATGGATACAGAGTGCATGTGGGATGGATAGGGGATGGATGTGGGATAAATGTGAGGTGGGTGCAGGATGGATGTTGGATGGATGCAGGATGGATGCAGGGTAGATGCAGGATGTGTGTGGAATGGATATGGGAAGGGTATGGAATACATGTGGGATGGATGCGGAATGGTTATGGGATGGATGTGAGATGGTTGTGGGTTGGATGCAGGGTGAATGCAGGGCAGATATGGGATGGATGCAGGATGGATGTGGGATTGATGGGGGATGGATATGGGATGGATGCAAGGTGAATGCAGAGTGGGGATGGGATGGGTATGGGATGGATACAGTGTGGGTGTGGGATGGATGTGGGATGCATATGGGATGCAGGAGGGATGCTCACCCACACCAGGGCTGGTGCAGGCAGCATGCTGAGGGGCTGCAGGCCCACGGCAGTGTGCTGGCCGTCTGTCAGCCACTCTCCACCAGAGATCGGGGAGGGCTGGCGGGACAAAAGGCGACATTATTCGGAGCAGAATAAGCATGAATAGAGTATTGAGAAATGCAATGTTAGGGACTAGATTGATTTCCGAGCCCCATAACTGAGCTGATTGTCTGCTGGCGGGTCTCCTCTGAGTGCTGGGCCGGCAGCAGCCCCATGGTGAGAACAGGGATGTGCAGGGACTGTATCCTGTGTGGCAGCTCTGTAGGAAGGGGCTGAGTCCTGCCCTCTCATGCCATGGCTGGGTGATGGAAGCAGTGCTGTCACCACCCCGTGCTGCCAGAGAGAATCCAGCAGAGCCAGATGTTCACTGTTCCAGCAGCAGCTGGTGAAGAGAGCAGCAAATGATGGGGAAATTGCAACTTATTATCTTTAATCTCTTCCTCGTTTTCTCCATGCTTGCTTTCCATCTTGTCCCCATGGAGTTTGCATCTCCTCGCACTGACGAATGATGTGATGCTGTGGTGCCAGAGCTGTGTTCCCACACTAATGCCTCAGGTCTTGGGGTCCCATAGGTGTTCCAGCTGGGGTGGGAAGTACCGTGGTCATGTTAGTACAGGAGTGGGGTGGGAGCTGGGACTCATTCTTTGTAGAGAAGTTCTGTGATGGAGAGGGCTGGCCATGGGTGACAGCACAGTGACAGCCTGGCAACAGCATCACAGGAGGAGCCATGGGGCTGGCAGCTCAGCTAGGGTGATGGGAGCCTCCCAAAATGTGGACTGAGACTTTCTGCACGATGGGAAGCACCATCACATCCCCAAAGGCAGCTGCATGGTGTGGCTTGCTGGAGATCTAGGTTTGCTTGGTGGTTTGGGAAGTGCCTGTGCGGGGGGGAGCCCATTCACAGCTCTTCCAGGATGAACTCCAGCTGGATGAGGTCAGGATGTTTCTCTCAGCTTTGGAGACATCTCCAGAAGGGGTGGGTGGTGGCACCATGATGCAGCCTTTGGGCTTTCACACTGGGCAAGATTTGTCCTGCTGCCCCGTGCCTGAGCAGAAGCCCTGTCCTAAAGGTCCAAAGTGACCCCCGTCTCACTATGCAGAAAACACCTCTTGTTCTCAGCAAATCTCAACTGGAGCCATATTTTGGTGTGATTGCTGCCCAGTGGCTAATGCTGGTGTCTGCATGTTGCAGGGACAGCAAGAGGACCCCAGAGCAGCGATGAGCACTGGTCCCTGTATGGCATGTGGGGCACTGCCTTCCTCCCTGCTCCTCCTCCTCCTCCTCGGCCCCACTGGTGAGCTCTGCTGTTTCTCTTCATGAATGGACACGGCTAAGTCCTATCAGAGGGCGATTTGTCCTATTTTGGTGGTTTTATTCAGAAATGTGACTTGAAAGGGGCTGTGTTTACCTCAAGGCGGTTCCCTTTGTTCTCTGGGCTTTGTGAGCTGGATCAGAGGGAGCCAGGAGCTCTGTTCTCCAGGATGGCTTTCCTCATTAGTGTGGACAAACTGCGCATATTTTTCAGGTCTCTCTTGACTTTGCTGGAGGATGCTCTGAAATAAAAACTTCAGAGCTTTGATTCTGTCTAACGGACGATGGATATTGAATATTTAACAATGTCCTTCTTATCTGCTGCTTGTTAAAAAGGTTTAAATGTGCTAAAAATCCATACAAGCCAGAATAAATCACTGTTCCAGAAAGGCTACCACCCTTTGGGCTTCCCTGCTGGATTCCGAGATGGCTGCAGGAACACAGCAGCTTCACTGCCCCATCTCACACCCCAGCTCCCACCCCCTCTGCTGCCAAGCATCCTAAGGATCCCCCCCTTCCACACCCCCCCCCCGTTTTTGGGGCTGCATCTTATGTTTTTTTCCGGCTGAGAGTGCTGCAGAAGTGGGTGTTGCCCAGGTGCCTGCACCACTGCAATGTGACAAACGTGAATGCAGGAGGCAGATCTGTGTGGTGCCCTGCAGCAGCCCCTACAACCCTCCCCACTTCAGGATTGCTCATTTTCACCCTATGGGTGGCTGCACGCCATCATCTGCATTGATACATAGGAATACACGGCTTGCAAAATGCTGACTGCAATGTGTGTGTGGGGGGGGGAGAGGGGAGGGAGGGGGAAGAATGAATTGAGTGGCTCCCGGAGCAGCATTTCCTATCAGGAACCACCAGCAGGCTCTCGTGGCAGGCAGGACCATTTTTCCGGGGCTTGCTGCTGTCACTCACCATGCTCATAATGCAAGCTGCTGGCAGCCCAACAATGGCAGAGAGGAGAGGAGGCAGGAATGAAAGGCTGCTTCTGTCTGGAAGCTAGCAACTCCTCAGCGCGTGCCAGGAGAGCAGCTTGGTTTCATTAAGCTGCTAATGGCCACTCTTGGCACCTCTCTATCACATTCCATCCAAGGATTTGGGGGAGCTGCAGCCACCTCCTTCCTTGCATCCTGTGGGACCCAGCCCTTCTTTCTCTGTTTCAGGAACCTCTGAGTCCGTCCCACCGCCGTTCCCAGGTGAGGTTCTTCCCTCTGAGTTGCTCTTCTCCAGGTTTTGCTGTTGAAAAATGCATCAGAGAGGCAGCGTGTTGGTTCTGAACAAAGAGCAGCAACAAAAAGCTGAACCTCTTTTACAGAAAGGAAATAGAGATTCTTTATTATCCTTATTCTGCTTATGATCAGGCGAGTACAACCTCGCTGCTCCCTGCTAGCTGTCACCCTGTCACTCACCACGTCCCCTGAACAATCCCCTTCAGGGCTGCTCACACCACATTGCCAGCAGCCTGGGACAGCATTTCTATGCCACCACTTCCAACTATGGCCATATTCACTGGGACATGGCGAGGGGGGTTTGGTCTCTGCTCCCAGGAAACAGCAATAGGATGAGAGGTGATGGCTCTGTGTTGCACCAGGGGAGGCTCTGGTTGGATATTAGGAAATATTTCTTCTCAGCAATAGCGTTGCTGCGGTGGCACAGCTGCCCAGGGAGGTGGGGTAGTCTCCAATTCTGGAGGTGTTCCAGAACCACGGAGATGTGGCACTGAGGGCTGTGGTCAGTGAGCATGGGGGGCTGGGGTTGGACGTGGGGATCTGAGAGGTCTTTTCTAATCTCAGTGATTCTGTCATTCTGTGAGATGATCACACCTTCTCACCTGCGTTGTCATATGGATGGCCTATCTCCTATGCCTGATAACACGGTGACAAGGTGACATTGCACCCAGTACAGTGACATAAAGCTGTGTGGGATGTCCATGTCCACTGCTTCCGACCCATGAGCAGCATCCACCACCTGTCACCAAGCCCACCATCAAGCTGACGTGGTGTTAGCTAACATGAGGGCAGAAAGCCAACAGCTTGCCATAGCCAGGACTCACCCATTTGGTACAGAGAGCAGAGGTTTGGTGCAGAATGGCCCCTCCGAAGGTTGTGGGTCCATTGGATGCTGGGTGCTGCCCTCCCAGCTGCCCACTGAAGCTCTGTGCTGGCCGTCCTTGCAGAACTGCGCCTGGCCAACGGGCCCAGCCGGTGCCAGGGCCGCGTGGAGATCCTCTACAACGGCTCCTGGGGCACAGTGTGTGACGATGACTGGGACATCGTAGATGCCAACGTTGTGTGTCGGCAGCTGGGATGTGGCCATGCCATCGCCCTGCCGGCCCCCATGACCTTCGGCCAGGGGAGTGGGCCCATCTTCTTGGACAACGTGGACTGCAAGGGCCAGGAGGCGGCACTGAGTGAGTGCTGGAGCCACGGATGGGGCATCCACAACTGCTACCACTACGAGGACGTGGCTGTCGTCTGCAATGGTAATAAGGCTTGGTTCCCTCGGGGCCAGCGTGCAGCTGGCAGAATATTGTTGTTTGTATTAAGTGTATAGTCACAGCAGGGTTACAGCTCGCTTATGGGAGGGTTTCTGCAGGCAGAAATTGATGCCATCTCTCATTCCCTTTCTAGAGCTGTCCCCCACATCAGCAAGCGAAGGACCGACCAGCAGGACTGCTACAGCCTCGGTGCAGAATGGGGAAGGTGAGCTGCTCATGGCCTGACCCGGCTTGGAGCTCTGCAGGAGGCGAGCAGAAAGCAGCACCCACATCCTGTTACCCATCACCCACCTCCCATCACCCATCCTCCCATCACCCATCCTCCACCATCACCCATCATCTCACCCATCCACCATCCCAGCGTCTCCCCTCCACCAAACAGCCCTGCTGGGCTGGCCAAGAGAAGACCCCCAGAAACTCCACCTTCATGGTTAAATCCTGGCCCAGATATTCCTGCAGGATCCCATAAATTGTGCAGCCCTAAAGCAAATCCTCTTCCAGAAACTTGGGCAGTTTCTGGAGCACATCCAGATCCCCCTTCTGTGGGCCGGTGACCTCAAAGGGACAGCAAGACACTTGTCCCCCATCTGTCACCCTCCAGGTGACGGCCGCATCCGGCTGGTGAGTGGAGCAGATGCCTGCCAGGGCCGTGTGGAGATCTTCTACCAGGGGAGCTGGGGCACAGTGTGTGATGACGACTGGGGGCTGAGCGACGCCAGCGTGGTCTGCAAGCAGGTGGGCTGCGGCCAGGCCCTGGAGTACAAAAGCAACGCCTATTTCGGCTACGGCACGGGGCACATCCTGCTGGACAACGTCAACTGTGAGGGCAGCGAGCCCATCCTCTCCGCCTGCTATAGCCTCGGCTGGGGCATCCACAACTGCGGTCACCACGAGGATGCCGGGGTCATCTGCATGGGTAATGGGGCACGAGGATGGGACATCCTTGCACAGAAACAGCCTGCCTGGCCGGGACAGGAGGGAGGGAGTGGAGCCAGGGTTGGGCACGCCACCAGGATTGCCCCCTTCCCCGCATTGCCCAGCCCTGCCATTATCCACTGATTACCATTTATATTATTAATAATTCCCTTGAACTCCCTCGTTATGTTGGATAACGAGTGGAGCAGGAAGTTATGGTGTTTTCTTTTGTACTATTTGCTAACAAGGCTGCTGATGGAGAGGAAGGGCTAATTTTCTAAGGATGCCCCCTTCCTCCCCAGACACAGTGCTGGGGCTGGGTGGCAGCACTCAGTGCCCATCAGATGGGGCAGGACTCAGGGAATGCAGCTTTGGGCCTGGTGGTGAGGCTGGCTGCTCACACCCTGCCTCTGCTGCTCAAGGACAGCTGGTGAATATTTGATGTATCAAGCTTCAAAAAAGCACTTGCATAGAGCTGGAGAACCTCCATTTACAGGATGTGGACTGTACAAATGGAGGAAGTCCTTTGCAGCATCTGATGCATGGACTCAGATGTGAACGACCCAAATTGTTTATAACAAGTTCTCACATCATTTATATACCTTCACAAGTTTTCTTTTTCTAGCTTTCCCATCCACCTGTCAACAGAGCATTCTCAGACACTCTTCAACCGTTCATGCAGGCACTTATCCAATCAGAGCCATGAGATGTTCTTTCTTCTTCTAGAGGTGTCCTTGGTTCTCATGCTGTTTGTCTTGCTCCACAGCTGCTGCTCTGAACAGTTTTTCTTGTATTCCCACAGTCCATCATCTGCATCTCTAATGTCCATCATCTCCATCTCCTCCACCATCTCCATCTCCTTCCTTACACCACTCCACTCTGCATCCTGGTGTCACAGCTAGAGGGTTATGTGCTCTGCAGCTTCTCCTTGCCTGTCAGCCCTGTCCTTCTGTGTCCCTGCAGGTCTGGACACATCCACCATCACATCCTTCACCACCTCCACGGCCCTGGACTATGAAGAGATTCTCACTGCCACAGCCACAGGTATGGTGTTGGCAGCAACCAGTGCCACAGCAGGGAGGGTTCTGAGGATCGGCAGCTCTCTGGGCTGTCCCTTCCCATGGGCCAGCCACCACATGGGTCCAGGTGCACCTTGGTGAGGCTCCGGGGCTCTCTTGGGTGACCTTCCCTGTGGCAAGTCCCAGGAAACCTCTTCCACACCACCAGGGGACTTTTCCATGGGGCCACCGTGGTGCTGGCTGCAGCTCAGAGCAGGGGCAGTGGGTGCTGGGGCCAGACACCGAGCACCCATGTGTCCCCATGTCTCAGCAGTGACAGACGGCCACGAACAGCCCTCGCCTGCAACTGAGGTGGTCACCACTGTGCTCATCACTGCCGAGCTGGAAAGTAAGCACGTGGCTGCCATTGGTGTGGCACAGCCCTGAGCCCGAGGTCCTCCTGTCCCAGCTCCCTCACTGCCCTGCAAAAATGACCCCACCTCCCCAGGGCGTAGCCCACCTACCTCAGGGCTTGCCCCACAGCCCCTGGGATCATCCCACATGTGTGTCCAGTTCTCCCAGGGTCTCCCTCCATCTCCCCATGGCTCCTCACATGATCTCAGGGGTTTCATTACATACCCATAGGGATACCTCCTTCATTCCCATGGCTCCCCTTTCATCCTCTCAGGGCTCCCCCCATCCTCCCAAGGGTTCTCCCCATCTCTCCATCCTTCCCCCATCTCCCCAGGACCTGCACCCCCTACCTAGAGGTGTTCCTTCCTCATTCCCAGGGCTCCCCCACGTGCCCGGAGGGTCTCCCCATCTCCCCACGACTCCCCTCATCCTCGCAGTGGCTTTACCCCATACCCATTGGGCTACCTCCCTCATTTCCGCGGCTCCTCCCACGTCTCTAAAGGGCTCCTCTTATAATAGGATCCCTATGGGGACTTCCCGTATCTCCCCATCCTCCCCGCACGATCCCAGGGCGCTCCTCCCATTCTCCCAGCTCCTCCACCCGGCGCTCCCTCCTCCATCCCCGAGCCTCTCCCACCCTCCCAGGGGTTCCCCCAGCCGCTCCCCACCCCTTTCCCCCCCTTCCCCCCGCCTTTCCCCCTTTCCCCCCCCGCTCCCGTTTCCCGCAGTGGCTGTGCGGGCGCCCACCCGCAGGTGGCGGCGTGCGGTTGGCGAACGGCAACGGGAGCTGCCGCGGTCGGGTGGAGGTGCGGCACGGCGGGACGTGGGGCACGGTGTGCGACGACGACTGGGACTTCCCCGACGCGCAGGTGGTGTGCAGGCAGCTGGGCTGCGGGCCCGCCGTCTCCGCCACCGTCCTGGGTTCCTTCGGGTACGGCACCGGGCCCGTGCTGCTGGATAACGTGGGGTGCGACGGGCACGAGATGCGCCTGGCCGACTGCTTCCACCTGGGCTGGGGGCAGCACAACTGCGGCCATCACGAGGACGCGGGCGTGGTGTGCCGAGGTGCGTGGTCTGAGCATCGCCCCTCCCGTCCGTCCCGCTGGGCGGTGGTGGGATGTAGGACCGGAGTGTGGTCCCAAGAGGATGGGGTTGCTGGCCCAGGTCCTGGCATGGGCTCCGTTTTGCACAGAGGTTAGGGAAAGGTTCTGCCCCCCAAGGCAGTGGGCACAGCCCTGAGCTCAAGGACTTGGGCCACCTCCCCAGGACCTGCACCCCCTACCTAGAGGTGTTCCTTCCTCATTCCCAGGGCTCCCCCACGTGCCTGGAGGGCTCCCCCCATCTCCCCTCATCCTCGCAGTGCCTTTACCCCATACCCATTGGGCTACCTCCCTCACACACGTAGGGCCTGGGGGGGTCCTGTGTAGAGCCATGGGTTGAACTTGGTGATCTCAGGTTGGATATCAGGAAGAATTTCATCTCCAAAGAACAGTGCTGCATTGGCATTGCTGCCCACGGCGGTGGTGGGGTCACCGTCCCTTGAGGTGTTCCAGAACCATGGAGATGTGGCACTGAAGGATGTGAGCAGTGGGCATGGTGGGGTGGGCTGGGGTTGGACTTGGGGATCTTGGAGGTCTCTTCCAACCTCAGTGATTATGCAGTTGTATGGTTCTGAAAGCCATGTGGGTCCCTCCCACCTTGGGATGCTCTGCAACTCTGACTCAGGGAGGACAGCAGCACTGCAGTGCTGTGGCTGGATGCTGTGTCTTCTCTCACGTGCACTCCCCAAGCACACTGCCCACATTTCTCAGCTCCTTTCCCCTGCTAGCCTCATGCCACATGCACAGGGACTCTGAGCTGGGCCTGGGGAGCACAGGATATCCCTCAATCATCCCCTTCCCCCCCCCTTTCCCTGCTGCACCAGGTGCTGATGACTCAGGAGACCACTTCCAAGAAGCCACCGTTGCCACCACCACGTCAGTCCCAACCTATCTGGAGGATGGTGAGCATCCTATGGGCACGGAGATGGTTTGGTTGCAGCTGGGAGAAGCGAGGCTTGCTCTGGCCCAGCCTGGCTGGGATGAGCCCATTCTCCTCCACCCCATCCCAATGTCCCTCCACAGGGTTCTTGCGCCTGGTGAACGGCAGCCATCGGTGCGAGGGCCGCGTGGAGATGTTCTACCTGTCCCAGTGGGGCACGGTGTGCGACGACGCCTGGGACCTGCGGGATGCCAAGGTGGTGTGCAGGCAGCTGGGCTGTGGGCATGCTGTGGCAGCGTGGGGGGAAGCACGCTACGGCCCCGGCACTGGTTACATCTTCCTCGACAACCTCAAGTGCAAGGGCAGCGAGCCCTCACTGCTGCGCTGCTCCCACATCCGCTGGGACGTCCACAACTGTGACCACTCAGAGGATGCCAGCGTGGTCTGCATCCTCCTATGACCACCCGCCCGCAGGGACCATCCTGGGTATGAGGATGGGGGTGGTGGGGAGGGGGGGGCACACAGAGAGGGGGGTGGGAGGTGGGACGGGAGGGATGTGGGACTCGGAATGTGGCAGGAGAACAGTGAGGGTTTAAATCAGATGGATTGAGCCATTGACAAGCACGCTCAAATGAGATGTTAAGTGTGCTGCTTGCTTGGAAGTGTGCCTCTCCATCCTGTGAATCTGCTGTCTGACTTCACCCAAATTAGGTGACAGGGTAGAGGTCTCAGGGCTGAGGCATTCCCATTATTTCCTATAAAATAGGCAGAAGGGGGAGGGAGAGGCTTCTACAGGACACCTAATGAGCCCAGCACCATATGAGGCACCAGAGAACCCACACCATGCGCACTGCTGGGCACAGCCCTTGGGAGCACTACTTGTGCTCCAGTGCAACCCACACTGACACAGCTGGGCTCAGGCAGGAGCAGTGTCCCCCCTTCTCCCCCGAAGCTGCCCCAGGCATTGGGGCCAGGTGTCCTTTGGCTCCCAAAACCCTGCTGAAGCTTTTCCCCCAGAATGCCTGTTGGAGAGCAAAATGAAGTAGCCTTTTTGTGTGTGTGTGTGTGTGAAATCCAGTTGGTTTCAGCCATTTCATTTGAGAGATGAGGGGAGAAAAATGGATTTTCTGCTGTGAAATTGACTTTAGATTATACCTGGGAAATGTAAAACAGGGCTGAAACCAAACCAGAACATTCCAGCTGCTCTGCGGTGTGTTGCTGCCCTCCTACAATTTGCTTTGCAAAACCCCCTTAATCCAAGTATGAGCCCAAGGAATAAATACGGGGTTTCCATCCCTGCTGCCTGCAACCCAGTCCTGCAGTTCCCATTAATTCCCAACATGCCCACATTGTCTCCTCTGCTCCTGCTTCTCCTGCAAGCGCAGCCACAGAAAGTTGGGGAGCAGGGTGAGATGGTGCCCTTGCAGCCCCCATATCCCCACCACCCACACCCTGCGCCCAGCAACTCTTTGCAGCAAAGCTTCTTTGTCCCTGCAGAGCATGTGGAAGTGCATGCATGGCTCCTCTGCAGCGTGAGGTGCTCTGTTCTGCAACGGGCTGCTCTGTTCTGCAACGTTCTGTGATGGAGCGCTGTTTCCACCTGAGAAGGAGAACCACCCCTTCAGGTCTGCTCAAGGGGTGCATTGGCCACACCGAGGGTCCCAGGGTCTCCCTCTTCCCGTTTCTATGTTTGTACAATTCTTTTGTTAATAATAGGTTTCTTACATGTTTTTGGGAGGTGTTGTTTTGTGAATAAATAAAACCCCTTTTCAAGCGCGTGTCTCTGCATCCCCCCCTCTAGGGCTCAGTGAGAGCAAATCCATGCCTGGAGCAGTGCTGATTTACACCCTGCTCAGATCCTTCTGGCCGTGGGGAGCAGGGTTGGCTCTGGCTCTGCTCCCGGCTCTTTGGCAGCCCCGCAGGCTGCGGGTTTGCTGCTGGAGTGGGCGGATTGCTGGTGTGCAGCTGCAGTGCTGACAGCCGTAAATTCAGCAGCGCTGCTCACTGAGGGCGGGGGAGCAGAAGGGACCTTATGCAGGGGGTGGAGGTGGGCAGGGAGGCTGCATCCCCCAGTCCAGAAGTGTTTTCTGCATCGGAGTCCCTGTGACATGTTAACTGCAGCGATGTGCTCTGCTGCAGAACATGTTGCTCTCCGTGCAGTGGGGAAACTGAGGCACGGAAGCGTTTCCCCCAGCAGCACGATGGGATGCAAAGTCTGGATGCCTTATCCCCTCCCTCCTGTCTCCATCCCCACGCAGGACAGCTGGGTGACAGCAGGAGGGATGCAGCCACACCAGCTGGGGGATGGCTACAGGGTTTGCCCCCCAGCAGCATCCAAAGGGACAGAGGGCTCCTTCCTCCCTTCCTGCTGCATCAGCTGCTTTCCCCCCGCCAGCAGCAGCTGCGGCTCTGCATGGGTCGATGCCATCGATTGGTTCCTCCTTCCATCCCCGGAGAGGGGACAGCACGGAGGCCGGTGGGGGAAGAGAATGAATATTTCACGAGGCCCCAGCAAAAAGCTGGGGTTATTTTGGGGCTTGGATTTATGGCCTATTAGGAATAAGGAATGAGTCTGCACTAGGGAGAGGAGACCCATTAATCCAGGCTGAAGGAGCACAAATGAGCAAGGGGAAATGGAGGAGGTTTTAATTATTTTGTCGCGTTCCAGAATAATTCCTTGCTGGGAATGGGGGCACCTCGAGAGCTGCACGAGGCTGGGAGCCCCCTGGGGTGGGGATGGGGACCCAGGGCATGGAATGGGGATCCAGGGCAGGGATGGGGTCCCACGGCAGGGATGGGGACCCAGGGCAGGGCTGCTGAGTGGGGGTGCTGAGTGCTATTGGGATCACTGCTCAGGGTGGTGCTGGGAGGGACAGGGGTCCAACTGGGGACCAGCACAAGGCCACTCTGGATGCTGCATGAAGTGGAGGATGCACTGCCCTCACAGAGGGAGGTGGATGCACGGCACCAGGGTGCTCCCATGCCCCCCTAAGGCAATCTGTGCACCTGTAACCAGAGGAGCTTGGGTGAGTCACAGTGGGATCCAGCGAGCATCCCTGTGCCCAGCACCCCCTGGGTCACCTTGGGCTGCTCTCCATGCCCCTATCACACCGCCTGCCTGTTTCCCCAGCAGTGGCTGCACCACAGCACTGCACTGCTGATGTGAGGTGGGTGCAGGATGCAGGCATCACCGTGATCCTTGCCGGGCCCCCTGCCCATGCCGTCCTCCTTCCCCACGTCTCACAGTGACGTCAGCCCGGCGCAGCCAGCTGCTATTTTGGGAACTGCAAAGTCACTGGTGCAATTAGCACGCTGCTGAAGGCAGAGCAGCCAAGGGAGGGCTGCGGGACGGCTGCACCCCCTGCGCTTGGTGGGGGGCTGCACAAGGTTGGTGCTGCTCCCCCTCCCCGCCACCTCAAGGACTCCCTCCCACGTTTGCAGATCTCATCCATCATCCCTTCTCTTGCAGTTGTTTTATTTTTTCTCTCCCCCATGGCAGAGCAGTCCCACGTGGGCTGCCGAGCGCCGGCAAAATCCGGCTCTCAGCCGTCCTACAGCCCACACCATCATCACCTTCCCTTGGGGAGAGGCACGGCAGCAACCTTCCCAGCCCCATGTTCCCCTCCTGACCCCACGCAGGGGCCCCTATTTTGGCTCAGCCCCTCCGAGCCGCTGTCCTTGTCCCCAGCGGGCTGTCCCCTTTTGTCACCTTCACCAGGGACACCCGCCAGGCTCTCCCTGCGGGTGACAGCTGCTGTCAGGGTCAGGCTGGGCGCTCTCCTCTCTGCATTGTGCTTTGTCCCCGGGGTGGGGACGTGCCACGTGCGGCTGTCACGGCCCGCTGCACAGCTTCTGCCCTGCAATGAGGCTCTGTGCATAGGGACATGGGGACAAGGGGACAGTTGGAGATCTCAGCCCCTTTCCTGGGGGCTGGCTGCTTTTTTGTAGCCTCCTCCTCCCCCCCCATGCTGGGTCACAGAAAGAGGGGAAACACGTTGTGCCCACCAAACACCAAAACAGGCAACCAACCCTGCGATGCTTTAAAAATCCCCAGATTTTCTCGTATGCTCCCGGCATCATTCACTCCCATCCTCCCCGGTGGGAAAAAAAAAAAAGTAAAAAATCCTTTCTCCTAAAGCCTGCAAGAGGCTGAGAGCTGCAGCAAGGGGAGCAGTACGGCTCTCGGGGGGGTTATGTGGGGCAGGGGCTGGCCCTGGGTATAGGGCAGGTGATGGGGAGGATACCACCAAAATGGGGTGTGTGTGTCCCCCCTGATGAGGGGTGTAGGACTGGGGGGGCCGGGTGCGGGGTGAGGCTGTGCTGAGTCACGCTGCAGAGCCGCGCAGCCAGACTGCAGCAAGCAGCTCGCCTGCAGCCTCTGATGGGGACGGATGTGACAGCCCCGTCCTTCCCCAGCCCACAGCGTGGAGGGGCTGGGGGGGGCGAGGATGGAGCGCTGCCTATGGGGTGATGCTGTGGGAGTGATGGGGGTCCAACTACACCCTGGGTCCTGTCTGTCTCTGTGCTGTTCCATGCATCACCCTGGCCCTGTCCCCCAGTAGGAATGGGGCAGCTCTGGGACCCCCACAGGACCCCAACACCCCCTGCATGGGGACATCTGCAGTGCTGCAGGAGAGGTGTCCCCAGGTGTGTGTGAGCAGGGGGATGGCGGGGCTCTGGGGACACACTGCCAGAACAGACTGCAGTCCTGCATCGGGTGATGGCAATGCTTCCTGGCAGGACAAAAGCAGGTCTGCATGACAGAGGGAAACTGAGGCAGAGGCGGGTGCTGGGGGGATGTCCCCAGGTGCTGTCACCTCTCAGGCAGTGCCCTGGGGGCTGAAGGACCTGGTGTCCACCCTGCCCGGTGCTGCCCACGGGCCCTGCAAAGCTCGGGGTGCTTCTGGAGGGACTGAGACAGGCCGGGCTTTTTTTAGGTGCTCCATAAGCGCTGTCTGGGCGGTATTTATATCGGCTCCTTAAATAAGAGCTGACATCCGAGCCCCGTGCGCCTGCTTAATTATTAATGCCCTGCGGGGAGCTGGTGTGCCAGCTGGGTCCCTGCATCCCCGCAGGGTCTGGGGCTGCTCCTACACCCTGTGCCTCCTTGGGTCCTCATCGTCCTCCACCTCCATGCTCCATCCATCCTCCACCTCCATCGTCCACCTCCATTTTCCATCCTCCTGCTTCATCCTCACCTCCACCTGTACCTCCACCCTCCATCTACCTCCATCCCAGCCACCCCACCTTTTTCCCATCCCTCTGATCCCATGCTCTGTCTCCCTGCTGCCTTTCTGCCTCCACTGGGCGTCCCACATCCACCACAGGCCCTGACCCAGCTGCTCACAGCCAGCCTCAATTCACAAATGCCACCACCCCTGTGATCCTGCATTCAGCAGGGCTGAGCTCAGGATAACTTTTTGGAGCAGCCTGAAGTGAGTATCTGAGTCAGAGAGGATTTACTGCTTTCCCTCACAGTGTCAGAAGGCATTTGCAGCACATAGCAGGGAAGGGAAGAGAATGCAAGGAGAACTTGTCTTCCAGGCCACAGGAATTAACAAAGTGGCACATCCGAGTGCTCCAGAGCTATTTTAATGCTGCGGGTGGAATGAGGGTTATTGGGTTTTTCAGGGACATCTACAGAACAGACCCACATCCTCTGGGTCTCTGTAAGTTCCCCTGCTGGGATGGTGCACCGGGAGAGCTGCAGAGACATACACTGCAGATATGTATTATGGCCACTCTGAAGAATTTACAGCATGATGGATGTCGCATCCTGACCTGTGAGGGGAAAGAACATTGGCCTGCATTGTGAAAAGCACTCATTGCTGGGGTGCACTGATGGGAATAAATCAGCACTTGCTCGATCTGGGGCAAACACACAGCCCCCATAAATAGGGGAGCGGTGATCATTAGGGCCAGCTGAGGGGCTGCTGCATTTGCGTGCGCTCCTGGAGGAGCATCATGTGGGGAGGCACTCATTTCTACGAGGCCTACAAAAATGCACAAAAACAGCCTTCCACGCACATGGTGCTCCCCAAGGCCAGGCTGCAGACCTGGGCCCATCATAGCGGGCAGCCCTAGTGGGCCTTGATGGCGTTTCTGAACAGCCCTGAGCCGAAATACCGCAGAGGATGCCGCCTTCAGCGCTTTTTTGCTCCAACGTTACCCCCAGTGACCGAGCCGGGAGGATGAACGTGCCATTATCCCAACGGAGGAATACACGGCTGCTGTCTGCAGGCACTGCCCGACAAACACAGCGTGGCACAACGGGGGCTTTCAGGCCCAGCACCAGCGGTGTCACCGCCCCGCCAGCACGGGGCCACGACGGCTCCCGTAGCAGAGGGCGGCAGCCGCCCGGAGCCACGGCTCTGCGGGGGGTCACGTCTGCTGGATGGCGGCTGCACCTCCGCACAGCGCTCCATCCCCGCCCGGGTGGCCCTGGGACGGGCTGCGAGCCCCCACGCGCGGCTCTGTCTAAAGGCCCTCCGGGTTTCAGACGGCAGTTCTGCGGCATTTCTGCTCGGCGGACGGAGGGGAACGCGGCGGGGCTCCGGGCTGGGAGCCACGAGAACCCGGCAGCGGGCGGGGAGGCGCGGGGACGCGCAGGGGCCGCGGGCCGCAACGAGGCGCCGTGCGGGCGGAGGGCGCTGCGGGCGGTGAATCAGCAGCGGGGCGCCGCTCCCGGCAGGGCGGGCCGCAGGGGGGCGGGCCGGGAGGGGGGGGGAGGCCATCTTGTGTCGCGCGGCGGGCGGGGCCGCGGCGCCGCGCGGGGA